TGTCCTCTAAGACATGAGCCAGTTTTCAATCTCACTTTACAATCTTATTTGAATATTCCACTGACTTTTTAATCAATTCCTCATATCCTCAGTAAATCAAGGTTTGTTATTCCACTGGTTTCCTCATTAAATGAGTCCAACAAAGCTTAGATACATGCTCTCTATGTGCATGTTTTTAATAATATACGGATTAGTCTTTGATAGTTCCTGGCCCTACCAATCAAAGGAGATACAAGAGACTGAGCTCTGTGTCAGCTCTCCTTTGCCAGTCAGACGCACAAAGATTCAGGGTGTTTCATTCACTGGGCATTACATGTAGCAAACAAGAGGCTCAAAGTACATGTATCACCCCCCTCTCTTACAGGTGCCCCAGCTTTCTGTTTTGTTTTGTTTTTTGAGACAGGGTCTCTCTATATTGCCATGGCTGTCCAGGAACTCACTCTGTACACCAGGCTGCCTCTGTCTCCCAAGTGCTGGGATTAAAGGTGTGCACCACCAACCCCCCGACTTCCATGGCTTACTTTAAACAGAAAAAAAAACTACTGGTTGAAATCAAGGGTAGTATTTCCACCCCTAAAAGTGCATTATAAACATACAAAATGGGGACTTGTGTTCATAGAAGACATAGAAGAATGCCACAAAATTTCCCAAATGAAATTACCCAAATGGTCATCAGCAGTAACAGTAACAACAAAAAATGGATCAACAAGTTATGATATATTCATTTCTATGCAATACTATATGAAAGAATTAAGTGCAACAATTTTGTGACACAAAAGACATGTAAACCAGCAAGTGTTCTTACAGTCCTACTTACATAACAATTCAAGTATAGGAACACTAATCCATCACAATAAACTGGCTACCAGGAAGGGGTGAATGGCTAGGAAAAAGCAAGAGAACTTTGTGGGGTGGGAGATGGCAGAAATAGTATTGGTGTAGCTGGTAGCTGTAGAGGAATATTCTTATGTAAAATCAAAATCATGATGCATGCTAGTGGCCTATGCAGTTTAGTCTACGTAATTTTTTTTTTTTTTTTTTTTTTTTTTACTTTTTGAGACAGGGTTTCTCTGTGTAGCTTTGGAACCTGTCCTAGAATTCACTCTGTAGACCAGGCTGGTCTCAAACTCACATAGATCCACCTGCCGCTGCCTCCCAAGTGCTGGGATTAAAGGTGTATGCTGCTGCCGCCGCCACCACCACCACCACCACCACCACCGGGCCTAGTCTATGTAAATTTTATCTTTAAAACAAATTAATTTTTGAAGTGACACAAGATAAAGAAAAACGTATTCTAAAGCAGTCAGTGTATGGTGATTGATACAGAGACCCATATACAAAACTAGAGTGTTCAGCCCTTGATGGTACATCATGGAGGAGGGGGCAGAGAGACTATAAGAGCCAGTAGTAGTGGATACCTGCAGCAAAACAGTATTTGCCAGACATGACAACATCATTATACACATGAACTCAGGGCAGCTGTGACTGCATATACAAGATCAAGGGAAACTGAATACTATCATGGATGGCGGGTGGGTTCATTAATGCCCACTCCTATTCAAGTTATTAGCCAGTGATGGCTGCTGTGGGAAGAAGAGTGGGTTTTCTTCATGGATTCAGTCCTGAGGTTCATTTAGGCAGTAGTAAATGATGGACTCCATGATTTTAAAAACAGCTTGGCAAGCCTTTAATCCCAGCACTTGGAGGTAGGGGTAAGCAGATCTCTGAGTTTGAGGCCAACATGATATACAGAGTGAGTTCCAGGTCAGCCAAAGCTGTTACATAGAAACCCTGTTTCAAAAAAGCAGAGGGGGGGTCATATGAAGTTGGGAGGAGAGGGAAGGAATTGATGGGGAGTGAATAGGAGAGTGGATTTGATCCAAACATTTTATCTTATATGAAATTCTCAAACAATCAAACAGAGAGATTATAAGAAGAAAAAGTGGGGGGAAAGGGATGGGAGAAAAAAAGGATTTGAAAAGATTCTTCTGGAATATTTAATGTAAATGAATAAAAGTGGGACAAACTAAAAAAAGAAAAAACCACTGAGAACTGGCAAAGGACAGGCCTGTTCTTAATAGTGCAATAGGTGCGTATACAGGACACCAAGAGGATGGCAGCAATTCCTGTTTGAGAGACTGACACAACAAGCTGAAGGTGGTCACTGAATGTCTTCACTTTAGGAAAGTATGCTCAAATGAGGCACTAGGGATTTGATAAATGAATTGAGAAAATACTTAAGGCAGTTCTCTGATAACATCAACAGAGGCACACAAATGACGGGACTCCACAAGATTACTTAATTCAATCCAAGACAAATTAATTCTTAAGCTAAATGAAATATTCAAAACTGGCAGATGCATGCCAATATGATTGTTATTGCTTAAAAACACATTTTCTTTTTAAAATCTGCTGCGGGAGCTTTGATTGTTGTTAAACTTTCTTGTATCCACCTACTGAGTTTTCAATAATAAGCCTAAGGGTGAAGACTTGAAAATAGACTCAGCCATCTGAAAGAATCGAAGTTTCTCTAGATTGTGACAGTCACAAGCAGCACCACCCCTAGACATTTCTATTTTATCCACCATGGATGGACCAAGTACCTCCCAAGAACATGACTTCCTCTCACTGAACAAGGGTTCGAGCCTAGATTAGGAGACAACTGATTAGGAAAAACAAGGGGAGAGGGCCATTCCTTTACATGGTAACAGGACCAAAGGCACACTTACTAGATGGCTGCCACTGTGTTCAATGATTGCCAGTACTGTGTCATTTAATCCTCAAAGCAGACAATGAGGTGGTTGGGCTTACAAAAGATAACAGAAGGCCCAGATCACCCTGGGGCCAGATTAATAGATTTTTTTTCAAAGAAGAAGTATAAAGAAAACCTTAACACAGTAGAAATGAGGCTAAAGACAAAGCCCCCAGAAGGCATAGAGGAGACACTGAATGAGAACAGCCACTTCTCTGGTAAGGGATACAGGCAGCGCAGGGTCACCCCACAGGCAGGAAGGAGCCTGAGGAGTAGGTTCCCTCAGGCTCCCTGTGGTTCCCCCTCCCTTCTCTCTCACCCTAGCACAACCTGGAACCAGTGCCCATCACATGCAGGGGTCTGCAGCTGAGGGTTCCCAAGTCTAAGCCAAGGCAGCAAGGCCAGGCAATGAAGAATGACCTGGCAAAAAGGCCCAAATGACCTCTCCCTCCCTCGCAGGGAAAGCACCTTCAGTTCTCCAGGCCCACAGCACTGCCAAAGAGAGAATACTGGATAATTGCTGCCCTGCTTCCCATCTGCCTTCCACAATCCTTCAGAGCACATGAAGAAGGAGCCCCAAATCAATTCTATAGGTTTACTCAATGCCTTCCAATTCAGTTCTATGGATCTGTGCAACGAGACACATTAAAAACTGTCAGAACACAAAGAACTTTCCCTCTACACTTGAAGCTCACACTACAGTCTCTTCTCATGCTTCTCCTCTTTTCCCATGCCCCACCTCTTTATCACACTCCTCCCTTTCCCAAGGCTCACCCTCCTTCCCAGGATCCTCTCTGCTCTTTGTCATACCCTCTTCTCTTGTTCCTTCTTCTCTCTCATTCACCCAACCACTGCCCCCTCCTTTGGGAAACCTCTCCTTTCACATCCAACTTTGGCCCAACTTCAAGTTCCTTTCCAAAGTGGGAAGTTTTGTTTGGAAAGGCACAAGAATTACCACTCATATACATATCAACAGAATCAATCAGTGGTAGCCCAGAAATTATGCTTTTCTACCCTAAGAATGGGAGGAAGCTCCTTGAGTCCAGCATGATCTCAACACCCCTACCACAGAAAGCAAAGCAATGCTTAGCAGCATATTTCCAGCCAAACTCTATCCCATTCCCCCAGCTTTCTGAACACTAAAAAGGAAATGAAAGAAAGAGAGGCTGACAGGGTCACCTGGAGGCAAGACCCTGAAGAAAAACTGAATTAGAGTCCTTTTCATTTTAGATTTCCACAGGGTACAGGTAGAGAGGCACAAGCTTTGGAACTGTGCAGTTCTTCACATGGTTTTCACCAATTACCACCACCATCACCACCCATCATAAAGCCTTTCCACCCAGGCCTTGATACTCCTTTGAGGGGGACACACAATTATCTAGGTGCAAGATTTATCAAACAACCTGTTCTATACAGCTAAGACACACTCCTGATTATGGCCTGCTACCACAGAGAATTCATCTATAGGCCTGGGATTCTACATGAAGCTCTTCCTATGGAGGGCAATCATCTCTTCTCCAGCATGGGACAGGAAGCTTGTGGCCCTGGGGCTTTTAGACCTGGTTAGTATTTCCCATGAAGAACAGCCTCCGGCAACCTCTTATTAACCAGAAAATTCATACTGCTGTTTACAGTGGTTGAGACACATCATTTATTAACAGGAATGAAAACATTTTGCAATTAAGCCCTAAATGAATTTGACAAAGGGCACAGGTTTCAAAATCTTCCTGATGAAACAGGTTTTAATCAGTGCTTCATAGACATAAAGGGATAAAGGAAAACAATGCTGCTCCTATCACAAAGGCATATCTATGAGGAAAAAGTGGGAAAGAGCACCACTTAGATTCTGCATTTGATCTGGATGCTACCGGCACAAATGGCCAAAACTGAGTTTCAAATTCCATTCTTCATGAAATGGAAAAGGAAACAATCCTTTCAGACTCTTAAAGCAAATAAACAAATATATAAACCAAACAATTTCACAGGCTTTATATATTCTCACTGTTTTCTAAAAAGTGATAAACCATTGTGGGAAAGATCATTCTGGGTCTTAAAATGTCACTTTAAAACAAATGATATCCTACATCCACAGGGCAAAATTATACATGCTCTCCTTGACATCACCCAGGAGATCAAGCTGCCAGTGACACCCCGAAGAGCCCCATGCACTTTATCCTCATCCCCCACAGCCTTTTGGTCTTCAAAGCACACACAGGAAACAGGAAAAAGGGTTTGGCTTTGTACTCACTCTTACAAAGTTGTCAGGGAACAAACCTCTCCTGCCGTTGATCTGCCCCTCCCACCAGCCTCCATCCTCCTTCCTGATGTTGGTGATGACCTCACCCACGCTGATCGTCAGCTCATCATCATGTTGGGCCTGGTAATCAAACTCCACTATGGCCTCCACTGCAAGGAAAAGAAACCAAAAGAGCAACTTAGGGTCAGCTGTCATAGAAGTCTGAGCTTCAGCATTCCCTGCAAGACCAATAAAGTCAGATTAAAGGGACTTCCCCTTAGAAATAGTTAAAATAACAGGCAACTTGATTTTGGTTAACCTGAAGCCTATATAGCACAAAACCACGAAGTGCTGGTCGTGGTCAGACACAGGCAGAGTGGCCTACAATTCTGTGTCAGAGCCAGGATGGGCTTCAGAAGGGAAACCACACAGTGACAGTGGCCTAACAATACTTACTCAACACACCAGGTATGTGGCATCATTTCTCTAAGTGCAGAGACCAAAGACCACAAACAAGAGACATTGGGTCTTTGGGCCTTTCTTCACCTCGCCAGTGCTAACTGACCCTGTCCTTGGACTTCAGCTACAAAATATGCACTCTAATTCCCATGCTACAGAAATGACACTATCACTCATAACAGCATATGTAAGTAAAGATAATGGAACACAGGGCTCTACTGATTGAACCGATGTCTCAGATTGCCCACATCAGAAGCACTGCTGCCCCCAACCAATGAGCTCATAGGCAGTTATATCATGTAATACTCTCTTTTCAGTGACAGAGAAACTATCCATCAAACTTGGTACAGGCAGAGGCAACAGATGAGGAAGCTCTTTTGTTGACAAAGTACCAATGCATTTCACCACAAGCTAACCAGAGAATGGTTAACTTACCCATAGAGCAGTTAGTTACAAGATTCCTTTAGACTCTGAGGTCTTCTTTGTGTACCCCAATATAAACCAACATCAAAACTTGTCCCTTTTTATTTGTAACTTCATATAAATGAATGAATACAGAGATGGTGAAAATTAGGTGAAACTCCAAATGGAAAATAAGCTAAGAGTTATGATAAAATAAAGGAAAAGTAAAATGAGTTAAATATGCATTGCAAACATAAATGTGAACACCCAAACTGCATGTTTTTCTTTGGGGCTTGCTTATAAGGTTTTATTAATATGTAACAGTCATACACATTAATAGGCACAATGTGATATTACAACTCATGCACGGAGCCTGTACTTATCAAATCAGGGTAATTAGTACTTCCTTTTCCTTGTCATTTCTTTTTGGAGACTTTGAGTTCCTGTGTTGGGGATCTAAGAAAGAAAGAAAGAAAATCTTAAAAACTTTGGTTTTGGAAAAGATTTTTTTCAACCAGATCAAAATGTGATGGAAAAGATTTCTTAAATAGAAAACTAAAAGGTACAAATAGTTCAAAAAAAATTCAATACACTAAGGTCACTTTTCTGGGGAGAAAGACCAGTAGGTGAGTGGGTCTCCATCATAAAGGCTTTACAGTACTATTAGAAGGTTAAGTTTCTACTGCACTTCTGGTTCAGAATAGCCTGTCCTCCAGACTGACCACTCATGAGGGCAGCTAAACCAGCCAGTAAACTAATCCAGCAACTCAAAATAGAACTGCCTTTTCCTAGATGGTTGTTCTATTCCACAATCAGTTATTGCACTCTCGTGTCATAAATCTTCCCATGATGAGGTAGAGTTGCAGCCTATTGTCATCACTTTTCCATGGAAAAGAAGACTATTAAGAGTATATACAAGGAAGTCCTTCCTGCTTTCTCATGGTTTTTGACAAGTATGCATGCAGGAACACTCCAATTTCTCTGTGCCATGCTCTGGTTCCTAATAGTTCAAATGAGCCACCATCTCAGTATACAAAGTGCTTCCTGTGCAAGCCCAAAGATCTGAGTTTGAGTCCCCAGAACTCATGTAAAGCCAAACAAGAGAGTATGTAGGAGGCACAAACAGGAAGACTCTCCTAGAAACTGATGAGCCAGTTAGCCTGGCATCCACAGAGTAAATAACAAAACAGTGGCACTGTCTCAAAACAAAGCAAAAACTGAGGACCCATGACCTCTACACATGTACTCTGGCACTTACACATCTTAACTCACAAACACAAATGTATGCATACATGCATCTCTCTCTCTCTCTCTCTCTCTCTCTCTCTCTCTCTCTCTCTCTCACACACACACACACACACACACACACACACACACAGTGGAAGTTTTAAATGAGCCATCATAACAATCAATTTAAAAACAGCTAGGTCCAATGACACAAATCCATTACACTAGCTCAGCTACTGGGAGGATGAGCCAGGAGGACTGTACATTTTAATGCCTGTTTGGGCTATAAAGCAGGTTCAAGGCCAGTCTGCTCAATTTAGTGAGACCTTGTCTCACAAATAAAAAATCAAAACTAGCTTCTGGCTAGTTCTAGTCACAAATTCCTATGGTACCAGCTTCTCAGGGAGCCGAGGTCCCCAACAGTGACATTGATGACTACCTTATATGCCATCCTACAGCCTTCATCCAGTAGCTGATGGAAGTACAAGCAGACACCCACAGCTAAACACTGAACTGAACTCCTAGAATCCAGTTGCAGAGAGGGAGGAGTGATGAGCAAAGGGGTCAAGGGGCTGGAGAAACCCACAGAAACAGCTGACCTGAACAAGGAGTAGCTCATGGACCCCAGAAACCAGCATAGGACTGATTCAGACCCCCTGAACACAGATGTCAGTTAGGAGGCCTGGGCAATCTACGAGGCCTCTGGTAGTGGATCAGTATTTATCCCTAGTGCACGAATGGACTTTGGGAGCCCACTCCACATAGAGGGATACTCTCTCAGCCTAGACACAAAGGGGAGGGCCTAGGCCCTGCTACAAATGATGTGACAGACTTTGAAGATTCCCCCATGGAAGGTCTCACCCTCCCTGGGGAGCAGAAAGGGGATGGGATTGGGGGGTTAGTGGGGGGCAGGGGAGGAGGGGAGGGAGAGGGAACTGGACATGTAAAACAAGTTTGTTTCTAATTTAAATAAAAAATAGAAAGAAAATAATAAAATAAAATATGATAGAAAATAAGAGGCCCAACAGTTCATCTAGCCTGAGAAACATTTGGAGACCCACATATCAATTATAAAAAGTTTCCTTTGAATAGAGATTGATCTTATTGAAACTGTGATTACAGTAATCTTTGTTCACATACCAGACTCTAAACTATCTCACTTGCCAATGAAATAGTTTGATGCCCATCTTCCCAGGGAACCTGAAGCTCAGCAAGGAAGGTAAGCTCATTCTCCCAGACAATGTTTTCCAGCATGAGACATACCAACCTCGAGGATCTGCTGAGGTGATGCTTGGAGGGAAAGGTTCAAATACCTGCTCATATTAATTCTAAGAAGAGAAAGTGCCAACATCCCTACTATTGCACTTACAGATCATCTGCTCTTTGTCAGACAGTCAGAGGCAAAGGTAGAAAGGTAGCCTAACAGCCAGTAGAGGCAAAGAGTGCTGGGCACAGAACACAAGCTCTGTTAGAGCACGCATGCACCAGCTCCAGGAGCAGCAAGTGCACCCACAGCTCTGTGGTGCCAACGCCTCTATGAGTCTCACCTCTTTTAACTAAAGTCACCCTCACTAAATGGATAAGTAGCTTGAAAGATCTGTATGGTGCAGAAGCTGTAGACTATTCAACTCAAGGCCATGTAAACAAGAAAATGTGGAGCTGCCACTTCAGCTCCTGGCCAGAGCTCTTTGACATCCCTATTTAGAGATGATCAGCAGTTTGGCCAATCACATCTTACAGGGAAATGACCAAACAACTCTCCATGAGCATCAAGGAAACTGGAATGTAGGCTTACATCTGCCCTTGATGATAAATGTTGGGCTATCCTAGGATTAACATTTTAAAACTGAATGCTAGACCCCTGAAGAAAAATAGCTTTGGTTTTCCAAACCCAATTGTCTATGGCCATACAAAACTCATCTGTTTATTTCCCAAATGTTCACTGTCCCAAATAGAAGATTAGAGCTCCTCATACAGTAATATACACTCACCTGTCATGTAAGTTTGGTCACTGAACCACATACATGATGATTGAGGAATGAAAAGATTGTATCACCCATGATCTCACAGCCATCTGTGTATGCATACACTCTGTTGTTCTCACAACGAAGGCATCACATAAGAATGTATTCGTGACAAAATTTTTAGATACCCAAACAATACTCTTTTTTGGAAAAGAAACCAGGGAGCTGGAAAGATGGCTTAGGGGTTAAGAGCACTCGCTGCTCTTGCAGAGGACCCAGGTTCAATTCCTTGCACTCACATGATGGCTCACAGCCATCTGTAACCCTAGTTTCACATTCTTCTGGCAATAGGCAACCATGGCACACATACCTGCATGTGTGCAAAAATACATACAGATAAAATTTTTAAGTGGAAGAAAGAAAAATGTAAGAAGGTCTCGGAATATAGCTTGCCTAGCATGCTTGAGGTCTTAGGACCTCAAAACTTAGGTTCAATTCTCAGAACTACGAAAAACAACCAAAACCATTGGTCAGGAACTCAGGCTCCCCAAAACAGATCCCATTAGACAAGGAAAGGACAACTCTCAAGTTTTCTGATGGGAAACATGAAAATGTTGGGGGAAGGCGAACTGGGAGAACCCAAATACAGGTGTGCTTTCAAGAGAGGGAGGGAGAACAAGGAAATGTTCTAAAGAAGTAAAGAGAGCCGGGCGGTGGTGGTGCACACGCCTTTAATCCCAGCACTCGGGAGGCAGAGGCAGGTGGATCTCTGTGAGTTCTTTTTAGCCCAGCCTGGTCTACAAGAGCTAGTTTCAGGACAGCCTCCAAAGCCACAGAGAAACCCTGTCTTGAAAAACCAAAAAAAAAAAAAAAAAAGAAGAAGAAGAAGAAGGAAGAAGGAAGAAGAAGGAAGAAGAAGGAAGAAGAAGAAGAAGAAGAAGAAGAAGAAGTAGTAAAGAGAGCTATGTCCTGGTTAACGTCAATCCTGTGATCTTTCAGGAACTCCAGACCTGACCAACGTGTGGATCACAGCCTTGTTTCTTCCTTCCTAAACAACAGGTCACATTTCCCGACTCTCTACTGGAACTTTAGCAAGGCAAAGCTGAAAGAAAACAAGTAGAGTTTGCTTC